TGTTAAAGATCGCTATGCATTGGATCCATTTAATGACTCGGTTGATACTCAAGGGCTACGAAGAGAATGGGAGGAGTGGTTCAGGTCATTCGAGCTCGTTGCGGAATTGAGGAGCGTTCAATCGCAACACGAAAAATTGGTTATGATGTTGGCTTGGGGTGGTAGAGGACTCCAACGCATCTTTTACAACCTGAGACCGGTTGCAGAAGAAATCTACCCAGAGCCTGCAAGAGTTCCCTTTTCGCCACAGGAAGTACCAGAATTCGACAATGGGGTGAAAAGGCTGAATAAGTTCTTCATCGGAAAGCGAAATGATCGTGTTGAGTTGGAGATTTTCCGTTCTCTGCGTCAGTCAACTGACGAATCTTTTAATCAGTTCATACTCAAACTACGTATGCAGGCCGCCCGTTGCGATTTCATGGATCGGGAGGAAAAGGAGATATTGCAACAAGTTACCATGGGGGCAAAAGATGAACGAGTTAGAGACAAAGGCCTGGGGAACGTTATGAATTATCAATCGTGAAGTTTTAATTGAACAAAAGGAAAAGTCGAAGGCGCTCAAAGACGATCTGGTGACTGGATCAGTGTCCGCTGTCAACGCTGTCAAGCAGCAGTGGGGTGATACGCCAGCGAGGCAGATTAAAAGATCGGCACCCCGGTTTAAGCCATACCAAGGCAGACCTGATCGAGGACCGGGTAATGCAAGCAAACGAAGGAATATGGAATGCAACCGATGTGGATCCACCAATCACCTCAATGATTCCCAAAGCTGCTATGCCAGGAATGCCCAATGCAACTCATGTGGACGTGTGGGCCACTTCGCCCGCAAGTGCCGAGAGGGGTGGAAACAGAATTCAAGGAGCCTAAATTATCAAAAGCGAACACCTGAAGAAGCTAACGCACTGTACGGAGAAAAAGAGTGGGAAGAAGAGCTACCACGCCGTCCTGGGACCAAAGATTTCGCCAAGGTAGAATAGTTTTTTTTCTTGCTTTGCTTGTTTTGATACGAATTTAAGACTAACATCTCAGGATTCAAGTTGAGGACTCGTAGGATCTGGAGTTGGGTTAATTTAATTACCTGATTTTTCTTCAATAAAACAGTAAATTAAAACAATTAATGATCGCATCGATATTTAATAGGTCGCACATCAACAACCAAACAATGGTGTGATCACATGTTTGATCGACAATTTTCCTGTTGATTTCCTTATTGATTCTGGATCAGCAATCAACACAATTACTGAGGACATCTGGAAGTCAATACGCAGTGCTGGGATACGCATCTTCAAAAAAAGGCAGCAACATGATCAAAGCCTCACAGCTTACGCAAGCTACAAACCGCTACGTGTACTGTCCGTTTTTGAGCCTCATGTTTCGGTCAACCCTTCAAAACCAGCAACGTACGCTGAGTTCTTCGTAATTCATGGTGCCAGCAAATCTTTGCTGAGCAAAAGAACAGCGGAAGAGTTGAAGGTCTTGAAAGTTGGCCTCGACGTTATGCACGTAGATGTTGTACACGATGCATTCCCTAAGTTCCCTAACATTCAGGTAAAACTATCGATCAATCGGAATATACCGCCAAAGAAGATTTCTTACCTCAGAATCCCGGTTCCAATGGAAAAATTGGTAGATGACAAGATCCAGGAAATGCTGCGTAGAGATATAATCGAGCCGGCAGTAGGACCGCCAGAATGGATTTCACCCATGGTCGTAGTTCCTAAAGGGCAAGATGACATCCGGTTGTGTATCGATATGCGACGTCCTAATGAAGCAATCCAACGAGAGCATTACCCGCTGCCTGTGATAGATACATTTTTGAACAAACTTAGAGGAAGTACGGTATTCACTCGGTTGGATATTACTTCGGCATTTCATCATGTTGAACTTCATCCTGACTCCCGTAGCGTCACTACGTTTATGGGCAGGGGATTAATGAGGTTCAAGCGGTTGATGTTTGGCATTAACTGTGCTCCTGAAATTTTTCAGCGAATTATGATGGAGATGCTGACCGGTATTGAAGGAGTTATTGTATATATAGACGATATTGTAGTAGCTGGTAAGACTAAATTAGAACACGATGCTCGTTTGACTGAGGTTATGACGGTACTCGAAGCCAACAACGTCCTGTTGAATGAAGATAAATGCCTATTCGGAGAAAAAGAACTTACAATTTTGGGTTTCAAGGTCAGTGCATCGGGGATAAGCCCGTCTGAGGAGAAAGTATCGGCAATCAAGAATTTTCGTAAGCCTGAAACCAAAGAAGAGGTCAGAAGTTTGCTGGGTCTTATAAACTTTGTTGGTCACTTCACCCCGAACCTATCCAGTAGAACGGAAGCTTTGCGTCAGTATATAAGAGGAGATGTTGAGTCCTTTTCTGAGGAACAGGAGAGAGCGTTTGACGATTTAAGAAGTGAACTAACCAGGAATGTTCGTAGGCTGGGTTTCTTTGATCCAAAGGATATTACCGAACTGTACGTCGACGCATCGCCTTTCGGGTTGGGAGCCGTATTGGTTCAAAAAAATTCATCAAGTAGACCAAGGATCATAAGCTTCGCTTCAAAAGGACTTACTTCGGCTGAGAGGATATACCCGCAGACGCAAAGAGAGGCTTCAGCTGTGGTATGGGCGGTCGAAAAATTTTATCTCTACCTTTTCGGTCTCCGTTTCACCATTTACACCGACCACAAAACGCTTGAGTATATTTTCGAAGGTAAACACCGGGACGGTAAACGTGCTTGCTCTCGTGCTGAAACATGGGCACTTCGCTTACAGCCGTATACTTTTAAAATGAAGTACGTACCTGGATCAAAAAACATCTCCGATATTTTGTCAAGACTGTGCACAGAATCAAGTTCTCCGTTTGATGAGGGTTCTCAGCACTTTTTATTTGCTGTAGGAGAAGGACCATCTGCAATCACCTTGGATGAAATACAAAACCAGACGCGAACCGATGAAACGCTTAGCGCAGTTATAAAAGCACTTGGGACTGGAGAATGGCCAACGAATTTCTACAGATATCAAGCTTTTTACAATGAGTTGGGAGTCATCGACGGTGTAGTAGTTCGGAACGATAGGATTGTGATGCCAGTGAAGCTAAGACCGAAAATTCTCGATATCGCCCATCGTGGACACCCAGGAGCCGTAACCATGCGCAGAATTATCAGAGAAAGAGTCTGGTGGCCTTGCATGGATCGAGATGCTTCTGATAGGATTCAAAGTTGTATCGGATGTCGGATGTGCAGCAGTTAGTAGACAGTTACCACCGGAACCAATGATTCGTAAGGAAATCCCGGATCGGGCGTGGCAAGATATTGCAATTGACTTCCTTTCCGCAAAAGAATGTGCGCCATTCTTAGTTGTTGTAGACTATTTCAGTCGTTTTTTGAAAGTTATTGAAATGCGACACACGAATGCAGCTAAAACTATCGAAGCACTCGAACAGATATTCAATGAGCAAGCATACCCTGAAACGATCCGCTGTGATAATGGGCCGCCATTCTCAAGTGAGGAATTTGCTGTCTACTGCAAAAGCAAGAATATAAAACTTATTCCAACGATACCATATTGGCCACAAATGAACGGCCTCGTTGAGCGTCAGAATCGAGGTATTTTAAGGGCTTTGTGGATTGCCAAACCTACTCATTCGGATTGGCGGAAAGTGTTGAAGGACTACGTATATATGTACAACACTTCACCGCACTCGATAACAGAGAAAGCACCTTTAGAACTACTTACAGCTCGCCTGGTCAAGGACTTACTACCATCTTTAAGGACTGAACCAGCGTTACGCCAAGAAGAGGATGTTAAGGACACTGATGCGATCAAGAAAATGAAAGGAAAAATCTACGCAGACAATCGCAGACATGCAAAAATGTCGGACATTAGGGTCGGCGATTCTGTCATGCTCAAAAACAACGAAACCGGAAAGCTTGAACCTAACTTTCGAGTTGAACGCTTCACGGTGATAAGGAAAACTGGCAACGATGTCATTGTTGCTAACCAGTCGGGAGTGACCTATCGCCGTTCTGTAACACATTTGAGAAAATGGCCAATCGAAAATGGTACTCCTGATCCGATTCCATCAAGTTCAAAATTTCCAGCAACATCACCAATCGAATCGCCTCCGCAGAAAAAAATTTGAATGGAGCAGCCAGATGCTTCTCAACCCGAAAATGGCTATACACGTCCATTGGAACGACCTTCAAGGATTCGAAAAATGCCATCGCGGTACAATTTGTAACTTGATCTCCCCACAATAAAATGTCATTTGTTTTTCTTCTTTTCTCATCCATATTATAATTTATATATCAAAATGTTAATGATTCTATTTTTCACCGTAGACTAGGAGAGGGATTGTAGAGTCATGGACCTCTTGTTCGGAAAACAGAGATGGAGTATGAGGAAAAGAGGAGGGAGAGATCCTACACGTAGTTTCCTATAGATGTCATCAGAAACAACAGCAGTGACATCTGATGGAAAGTGAATGCAGTAGTTAAATCTAAATCGTTAATTCCTAGATGATCCTGAGCTCGAAGCATATAACATCGCTAGACACTCAAAGACCTCAAATCTCGCTATAACTCTTCGTCGAACAGTCCCCCCCCTCGACCCGAATCTGCGTACGCCAGTGTGCGCCCGGAAATAAGTGCACTGTTGGTGAACACATTTATGCTACATGGCTAGCTGTTATGAATTATGAATGCAAGCTCTATGGTGCGGATGATGATTGTTTATGATTCAATATTTAACCCATGATCAATGGAAATTGATGCGATCGAACGAACGACATCTATAATGGTGATTTATGATGGAAACTACAAATCATCATTAACGCGAACAAATGCTCAAAGAACGGAAGCGCACATTGAAAGTGGAAGGGACGGAACAGTGTCCCAAGCGGTACAAGACACGGAATTGTTTGGTTTAATCTGGGTGGCACCTAACTCGCACTCTAGCCTTTCTCGTTAGTGCACTTTCACGGTAAATTCCATTCATCTCACCGGCGAGGGCCACGCTGGAACCGACATTGCGTGCCAGTTGGCTCGGTTTGTGCCGAATGCAGCAGCACAGCTGTTGAAGACCGGGCACCCCGTGCAGGACCAGGATGAACCCGGACCGGAAGCGGGCATTCATGTAGCAGTAGATGATCGGATTGTAGCAACTGTGTGACATGGCCAACCAGTGGAAGGCGAACCACAAGTACGGTAGCAGATCCCAATTGGTGTCCACGTCCACCATCTGTAAAGTGCGGAGGGGTGGAATGTTAGAAATCTAAAGCTCGCCATTGGTGTTTGGCGGAACTTACCATTAGAAGGTTGAACGGCAACCAGCAGATGGTGAACACGATCACCACTGTGACCATCATCTTAATCATCTGAAAAGAGAGAAAATTGAAGACTGTTAGTAAATTTCGATGAAATTGATCAAATTTTCAATTTGGAAGCTTGACTTCTGTGCGGTCCTAGTTCAAGCTAGTTACAGTATCAATTTCATCCACCTGGATGGACTTTATTCCAGCAACAGGCATCCATTATCTCGTCATGCGCCCCTTAATTGACAATAATGAAGTTACCCTCGCTCGCAGGAAAAGCTCCTTCTCCATCGTCCATCATCCGAACCGACCTGACCTGACCGGACACAGACGACGATGCAACCCAATCTATTCAATTACGTCCAAACTTTCCAGGCTGTAAAACGAGACAGCGAGGAGCCAATTTCCCTACTTTCAGTTTACTATGCGACACACAATAGCTAGCTGAAACTCTGCAATTTACTTACATAACCTAAAAGCGAAAATAAAAAAAAAACTACAAACTATTTTCATTTATAAACGAACTCTTCCTCTGCATCTCTAATCAAGCGCCTTTCCCACAGCAAAACTGATGGGAAAATACCCATCTTCTTCGTCGTCGCAAAACAACAATGCTCAAACTGCATGCTGATGGTTGACCACAACCATCGTGCGCGGCGTCTTTCTCTGCTTCAGCGATACAATTTTCTATCTCCCTCTCTATCTCGCTGGCACAATTGCACCGATGGGTCACTGGCTAGAGCATTCATTGAGATTAAAAATTCAGATAAGCCCTCCATTGGTGGCGAAGAAGGCCCGGACTTGCCCTCACGACGGCGACGTGACACGGACGGAAGTGAAATGAAATTTTCTGTGCAGTGCACTACGACACGACGATGACGATGATGATGGGTAACTGAGAGTGACACAAAACTTTACTACTTTGTCGTTCTTTTCCTTTTCTTTTTCGAAGTGGGAAGTTGAAGATTTCAGTGAATGGAGGAATCTTACTAGGAGTGGACTTTCGTTAGTTGTGGAAAGCTGGCCAAGTTGCAGCCCGGGGGTAAAATGAAATGAAGTGGTTTTACTTTGGCATTCCCATTCCCGATTCTGGGACTTATGGATGCATTCCTAGTTTTGGGATAAATGTGAGTTCTAATTTTCAAAAGCCACTGTTACTCATAGAGTGAGTAATTTTTTTTGTTAGTCACATTCGAGCAAAAATCGCCTCGGAATATTTATCATTTAGGAACATTCTACTCAGTCAGTGACAGTGTTTTTTTTTTGCGAATTTATGTAAACCGAACTCAAATTTGAGAGAAATTCTCATTTTAACTCAACCTATGAGTAACCTCGGTTTCAGCGAAAGTGAATAAACGGAACACAAATTTGTGTGAGATTCTACGACCGTGAATCCTATGCACTGAACTGGCAACTAGCTGGTCAGTTTTTTTTCTCGATTAAATCCATTAAATAATTGGTAAGCTGCGAAAAGTAGCGTTGGGTCATTTTACCCCTAAGGTGCATTTAGCACTGTCAACCCCTAGAATGGAATGTAAAAGAAGAGAACTTTGTTCCACTAGGACCGTAGTTTGCAGCTTACTATGACAAACAATTTAAAAAAAAAAATCGAATGCAAACGAAGAACTTTGAAATCGTTCGACTTGTTCGTAGGATGCAAATGACAGAGGTCAGTCGTTTTGTGACATAAAATGCATTTTTCATCGTTGAGAGAGACGTCTGCTTATAAGCTATAGTTGTGAATGGGTTGGTAAGTGATTACAACGCACAGTGGTCCAGGATGCAGATTTAGGTGGAAGGATATGTTTTGAGCCTGAAATTGAAACGTTAGACTACTAACCAAGACAACAAATCAAGAAGACTGGCAACTCTTCCATTTTCTCATACGAACGCTATGAGACAGGTACAATCGCGTCATCTGCCGCTCAAAGGTAAATGCTTCGAACGAATTTGATAGCAAAGATTACATCCTCAGAAGAAGGGTTTGTGTATTTGCTCATTTTTCTATGCGTTGCTTCTCCTTCTACCTTCACTCAAGCGCAGCGCCATTGTATCTGTCGCTCGGATTCTGGCAAAGTTGCCAGTCTTCTTGATTTGTTGTCTTCGCTAATAGTCTCTTCTACAAAGCTGTTCCTTATAGTTAGGCCCTCATTTTTATGACAACTAATTCTAGGGTGGTTCTTTTTAACATTTAAAAAACAATCTTACTTTTTTGTTGGAAGAAATTAAGGTATACATTCTTCAGCAAAGTTATAGCTGAGCCGCAAGGTTGCAAATACTCATTTCAGCTTAAACAATGTTTTTCTAAATTATGAAATAATTAGATGCCATGATCAAATTTTGAATTGGTAGGATACAAGAAGAGGTTGCAAAGAATGTGTTTGACATATTAAACCTGTTTATTTCACTTCATGAGAGTCACAATCAGCGATTTTTCACAAACTCACTCACTCACTCAGCGATAAGAAAATCGCTGATTGTAACTCATAGAAAGCAAAATTTACAGGTTTTATGTTTCAACCGCATACTTTGTAACCTCTTCTTGTAAGTTACAAGTTAAACATGCCATCATACCATCTTTTGGTTTTATTATTCCGAAAAACATTATTTTAGCTGAAATGAGTATTTGCAACCTTAAACTGAGGTAATTAAAGGGTGATACGGTCAAAATTTGGTCAATATCAACTTGACGTATTTCTTTCAATTTTGCATTTAAAAAACCTGAACACCCCTCATTTTGAAGGTGTGTGTGTGTAGAATGTTGCTCCTATTTTGATTTTGGAATTCACTCTTCAGTTGTCAAAATGCCGTCCAAGCAAGAAGAGCAGCGTATCAAAATTTTGCTCGCGCATCGCGAAAATCCGAGCTACTCGTACGCAAAGTTGGCAAAATCGCTAAAAGTTGCCAAATCAACCGTTACAAATGTAATTAAAGTGTTTGGGGAACGTTTGTCGACAGCCAGGAAGTCTGGATCGGGGGGAAATCGAAAACCGGAAGCCGCTGAGACGACAAAGAGAGTTGCCGGTAGTTTCAAGCGAAACCCTAACCTCTCTCTCCGAGATGCCGCAAATAAGCTGGGTGTATCGTCTACAACCGTGCATCGAGCCAAAAAAACGAGCCGGACTATCGACTTACAAGAAGGTAGTGACTCCAAATCGCGATGATAAACAAAATACGACGGCCAAAGCGCGATCCCGGAGGCTGTACACGAAGATGCTGACGAAGTTTGACTGCGTGGTAATGGACGACTAAACCTACGTCAAAGCCGACTACAAGCAGCTTCCGGGACAGGAGTTTTATACGGCAAAAGGAAGGGGAAAGGTAGCAGATGTTTTCAAGCACATGAAACTGTCAAAGTTCGCAAAGAAATATCTGGTTTGGCAAGCCATCTGTACCTGTGGCTTGAAAAGCAGCATTTTCATAGCTTCCGGGACTGTCAACCAAGAAATTTACGTGAAAGAGTGTTTGAATAAACGTCTGCTGCCTTTCCTGAAGAAACACGGTTGTTCCGTACTGTTTTGGCCGGATTTGGCATCTTGCCATTACGGTAAAAAGGCCATGGAGTGGTACGCCGCCAACAACGTGCAGGTGGTTCCCAAGGACAAGAACCCTCCCAACACACCAGAGCTCCGCTCAATTGAGAAATACTGGGCTATTGTCAAGCGGAACCTAAAGAAGACCAAAAAAACTGCTAAGGGCGAGCAGCAGTTCAAGGCAAACTGGCTTTCTGCGGCGAAGAAGGTGGACAAGGTGGCTGTACAAAATCTGATGGCAGGGGTCAAGCGTAAGGCCCGGCAATTCGGGTTTGGAAAAGCGGAAGCCTAACTGAATATTTTTCCTGAATTTTATACTAATTGAACTTGAAAAAGAAATTTAATTTGATTTTTTAAATAAACGATTTCACCGATTTACACGCATTTTCCCTTGACCAAATTTTGACCGTATCACCCTTTAAGGCAACTTTTTAAAAAAAAATTTTCGGTATCTCTTAAATTGACCGATTTAAAGCTATTTTCTTGAATTGAGTTAGGGTGTCTAAAAAAACAGTTGTTTTGCTTTAGTTTTCTTATTCAAAATTTCTCAGCACAGATATCAAGAGCCACATGTGAGAAGGGCATGCCGTTTCTATGCATTTCATGGAGACGCAATACAGTTTGTAATTTAGGCATATGTTAAAAAGTTAAAGTTTGTAAATTCATATGTATCTTAGAACAGTTTTTTTGTTTTTATCCAGTTCGTTTATTTGGAAGGCTCAATCGTGTTAGCTTTACGGAGCCAATAATTCATTATTCATTGTTTTAAACAAAATTCACTCATATCTGTGTCTAGTAGGAGTTGGGCCGAATACTCGCGGCTTACTCGAGGCTAGCGGGGTACATTGTTGAAGGATAGGATCAGGGGAGGAGCTTGGGGTAGGGTTTCATTGTCTCATCAGAGTGTTGTCGCCAGTTTGAAAGGTAGTGTGGTTCTAGCTTCGTCTGGAGTTCAACCTGCTATGGCGACCAGCGGGCGACGATGCTTAGAGCAGTTATTTTTCATTTGCTTTTATTATTTTTGTTTTCATTTACGTCACACCCGAAACTTGACGTCTACTCTCAACTTTGTGGTTTTAGTACTTGCACAGTTGTACCATTTTTGCATTCGTAGAGCTAGACAAATATAGTGATACTCTATGACAAGGGAAGTTTTCTAACTAAATAGCAGCGCTTTTAATGAAGATAATCATAAAAAAATACATGTATTTAATTTTTGATTGTTTATTATATTGAATATTTGATTTCATTTTGTAAATTGATGGAAATTATTTATACTGGTGCTGCGAACAAAGTTTAATTCAGTTCATAATTGTTAGGAAAGCTTCATTCCTAGATTGGTCTCAAATATGGCTACTGTTGTATGCGATGACTGCCTTAAGCAGATTTCGTTGATAGTTGTTGTGGCTTTCAGGAACTTTATAATTCATCCATGTTTTGGCAAAATCGTGGTGAATTGCTTCGATTGTCTGTTCTGAATATCGTCCAAGTCCTTTGTTTGCATTACAGCAAAATCCAGTTACGTGGAAT